ATCAAAGCTCCACATCAAGAAGCTTGCCTCAAACCATTGCTCAGTCACAGCCACTGAGCATTGTACACTGAAGTTTCTCAATAGAAGTGAATATAATCAAATGATTTAATTCATCTAATTGGGTATTTTTTCCACATTCTTCAATAAGAACTAATAGAAATGTAAACATAATCAAATAAAATCACAGTATAACAAGAATGGAAAAGAAACATCCAGATTATTTACAATTTATGAACATTTTTGTTTCATTTGCTACTTTAGTTTCAGTAGAATATTCTTTTTCAATCAGAGAAAACTTACTTTCTTATATCTCTTTTGTACCTATCATCTCAGATTTGCTTCTAAGAAGAAGGGTCTCCCTGTTGATGAAAGAATGATTATTTTCAAGTTCATTATATGGAAGTCTTGCTGAGACTCTACCAACAAAAGAAGTCCATGCAACAGAATCTCTGCCCAGGCTTCCAGCAAACCCCTGTGCTTCTCCCCACTGCTTGGAGATTTACAGGCTGATGCTCAAGCTCTGAATCCTTCACAAAGCCAAGTTCTCTTTTGGAAATCTGAACTGAGCATTGCTTTGCAATTGCTCTTTTCCAGTCTACAATGTGTCATTTGGAGGTCATTAATCTTGTTTTTCCATCCATTTCTTGATCTGCACATTGTCTGTCTCACAAGAGATACAGTGAAGACTACATACATCCATTTCATTTAAGGTGCCTTTGCAGTGTTTAGAACATGGTAAGTGGGCAATAAATGTAAGTTGACCTTCTCCCTTTTGTTTTTGACTAATGGATTCAATTTAACAAGCACTTATTAATGGGTGAGACCCAGTTCACACTAGGAGAGGAGCAATGATAAACAAAGTGGTCTCTAACCTTGAGCTTCTTAGGCTCTAGAAGGAAGGATAAAACAAACACACAAATAACTCTAACTCAAAGCAGAATATGACAAGGGTCTAAGAAGATAACAAGAAAACTTTTTTCTTTAAGAGGTTTATGCCTCAGGGTACATGTTCTTGCCAGAGAGAGACAGTGAGAGATAAAGTGAGAAATCCCACCCCTGCCCCCCACCCCCGCCCTGCCTACGAGGATAGCTACCCACAATCCCTTCTCCTCCATCACACACGCATACTTGCCCAGTGTGATTTTCATGCCACTGGGTCTGGGACTCAAACTGTGGTCAGCCATGTGGGAATTCAGTGACATAACCACTACATCATCTGCTGGCCCCTCCAACAAACTTCTATGGAAACAGAGGAAGGAGAAAATGCTTCAGGCAGGGGAGAATTCTGATAGTTTGATGGAAAAATATCAGCTCTATTTTTAGAATCATAAGGCTCTGTGGTGCAAATGGGAAGAAGGACTTTCTAAGTAGATATAACAGAAGAAGTGAAAGCATGGCTGGCAAAGTGAAGAGGTTTTTTCCTTTTTAGAAACTGGGGAGCAGTTGGAAGTTTGAAAAGGTCTGTGCATGAGGAGAGCTGTAGCGGTCACGCTAGAAGAGAAGGGCGTAGGCAAGGTTCTAAAGGCCTTGAATCTCATGCAGAGTCTAGACCTTGTAACCAGGATCACAGCCTCTCATTGTTTTTCCGGTCACGGCTCACATAGAAGATAACCATGTTGGGCCAGCCATACAGCATAGTGGTAAAGAAAGCCAGATCCCACCTGGCCAACTGCAGTTCAAATCCTGGCCCTTGTGGCTTGAAAAACGTCCTGGTCACATGCACATACATGCTTCAATCTCAACAGGATGGGGAAATGGAGGAGCAGGATAACAGTGTGACCACGCCCCATCGAAGGGTGCTTCCACCTCTCCCCCTCTCTCTCTTTTGATAGCACTCACCCTCTGGTAGCTAAAAACGAAAAGGAAAACCATGTCTGTGTAGCATGCTAGGGGTAAATGGATGAAACTACCTTTGGCTTAAGGCTATAGCTTGGAGTTGTCCCAAAGGTATCCACACCTCAGTGTATCAGTAACCCGTCTGTGACCCACCTAGGTCTCATGGTACGCAAAGGCAGAGGCCTAGAAGCTCAGCTCCAAGCAATGAGGACAATGGAGGCTTTATGAACCAGACTGTTACAGCATCAGAGCTTCCTATTGTCAACATTCTAAACCATCGGTACACATGTCATATCTGAAGTCCATAAAGCCGTGGATACCTACAAAGGAAAGACGTCATTATGTATTGTTCTTTTCTTTAGCTTTCTACAATATTTTCAAAGCTAATTGTCTAAACAAGGGTGCCTATTTAATAATATTTTAATATGTACAAGTACCATTTCTATCCAGCCTCCTGATGGGAAATGAAAGACTTACGAAATTAAAACATGGCCTAAATCAAGTCATCACTCTCCAAAATAAGAAAGCTACTCAAATAAACTGGTCATTGTTTCTCCTAATTGAAAACCTTTTCCTAAGTTTGGTCTTTTGGCTATAATACATATTTTTTTTATTTTTCTGACACTTCTCTTTAGGGAAACTTTAAATATGTACACAAAACAAAAAATTATAAAGGCCTTGCATCCAGCCTGAGAGAAACATACAGGGACCAGCAGGTGGTACGGTGGTTAAGGCACTGGACAGCCAACCACGGTTTGAGTTCCACACCTCCTGGAGACTTGTTTTCTCACTTTTCTTCTCTTTCTCTCTCTCCCCTCCATCTCTCTCTTTCTCTCTCCCTGTCTCTCTCCTTCCCTGCCTCTGGTGAGCACATGAGCTTTATAGCAAATTTAAAAATAATAATAAAATAATAATAATAAATAAATAATTCTTTTAAAAAGAAAGAAAAGAAACATCTAAATGCTTTTTTAACCATTTAGGTGGTGATTAACTCTGTGCCTGGCTAGACTGTTCAAAGGCTTTTCAAAATACCTGTAAATATTCCATCATTTTATCTTTCCTTTATGTCATGCCCCATTGGCACCTTACAGAAGGGCCTATCATACACAAATTTAGTGGGTCAAAAAGAGACAGCAGAGTTAGACCCCAAAGTTAATTGTCTACATATGAATTTTAATATTCAAAGATGTAAAGTATATATGATCATTTCTCTCTGTGTATTTCTCTCTTTCTCTAGGGGAACAAAGAGTTAAGTTTCTACTTAGTGCTATCTTTCATTGTTTTACCTCAGAGGTCAAATGTATTTTTTTCAAATATAAGTTTTCAGATTATTTCAACAAAAATGCTAGACATCTTTGATAAAAGTAAAAGACAAGGGAACCAGCAGTTAGCGTAATGGCTATGTCGCTGGACTCCGACATAGTCGACACCCGTTCGCGTCCTGAGCCCGGTGGCTTAAAACTCACGCCGGGCGCGTGTGCGTGCGTGCCCAAGATCCCGAGAGGAGAATGGAGGAGAAGGGATTGCGGCGTGACCATCCCCCCTGGGGGGTGATTTCTCACTTTCTGTCTCTATGTCTCTCTCTGTCTGTCTGGTGAGCGCATGCATCCTATAGAAAAATCCCTCCAAAAAAAAAATTATAAAAAAATAAATAAATAAAACACAAATCCATGTGTGTGTGTGTCTGTGTGTGTATGTATGTATGTATGTGTATATATAACTTTTCTTCCCAAACCCGAGTCCAGCTAGATCAGGTTTGTAGCTTGAAATAATTTGTGGTAGAATATTTGTACCATGGAAATTGGTAAATAATATAAATTGGGGCTTTCATCCTCCACCAGAGACATTTGCCAGCACAGTGAACATATACACACCACACACACACGGGTGTATGCATGAGGGTATACACAAAAATGTGTATATGTGTACATACATATATACACATATACATATATGTTTTAAATTTTTAAAGTTTATTTCTGTCCTCCATGAGTAATACAAACAGAAAGAAATACAGAGACAGAGACAGCACCCTAGTAGAGTTTTCACACACAATTTACCAGTCACAAAGCCTTTACAAGCCTGCCTCACTGTCTCTTCAAGGAAAAGAGGCATCATATGGCATTTATGCACCTGAATTGCTGTAATTTTTACCACTACACTGAGTGAAACCAAACCAGTTACTGTTGCCACAGCTGATTTGACCAAAGGTCAATGTCTGTGCAGAATGAAAAGCAAGTGTGGGGCCAGGAGCAGTAACAAAATGCTTCATGATGATGGGTCCACTGGAAAAGATACCGGGCTGCTGTCCCAGGACCTCCCTGAGCATGCCAGGTACACATGCCTGTGCCTGTGATCGGTCTGATGAAGAATGGGGCTCGATGGCAGCGTACCTGTCTCTCTGTTTCTGTCTCTGTCACTCTATCTCACCTACTCATAGAATAAATCATATGTTTTTTCTTTTTTAATAAAGGCAAATGTGAATGGGCTGGGCAAGAAACAACCCATTCTGCTGTGAGGTGATGTGCACTAACTGTGCAGTGAAGGCCTGCCATATTAAATGGTGGCACGTTATCCCAGTTGTCATGATCCATTCTATAATGACAAAATACCTGAAGCTGGGCTATTTATAAGGAACAAAAACTTATTTTCTCACAGTGCTGGAGGTTGAGAAGTCCAAGATCAAGGCATCTTCAGATTTGCTGTCTGGTAAGGACTGTTCGGTGTTTCTAAAATGGCCCCCTTACATTGGCAGCAAGGATAAACACTGTCCTCACATGGCAGAAGGGATGGAAGGGCAAAAGGACTTAATGAATTCTCTCAAGCTCTTTATATGACTACTCATTCCATTTATGATAGCAGAGCCCTCATGACTGTTTCTTTGAGCAATCAAGTGCTGAAATTAACCCAAAGAAAGTGAATGTTTCAAAATGGTTTTAATTTAATTTTGGCAATATCCTTTCCTACTCTCAACCTAAATTCTTTGTCCTCCTCTTTAAATGGTCTTCTTTAGGTTTTCACTTTAAGGGTATCCTACTGTAGGCTCTCATAATTCAGAGGACAACAATGTGTAGGTGCATGAATAGAGTGGATAATCCAATGATGAGATCTAGCATAAGGGTCCTCTATTTTAACTTGATTAATTATATCTTTTGTGTGCACAGTTTGAAGATATCTTCCCTGAAAATACAATATCAAGATATTTATCTAACACCTCTTCCGAACCGTCAGAAAACCTCTCCACTGTCCAAAAGCGACTGGGGCTTTGACAAACTTAATGACATACAACCTTCAGTGCTTCCTCTCATACCAGTGCCAAGAACCTCTCACTTTATGCCCAGGAGTCTCTCCTTTAGGATGAAGTTTGGTGCATCTGGAAACAAGCACAGGCTGGAAACATAAGGAAATTTACCTTCAGGAGACCTCCCTCAGTTAATGCAAGATGGGGCTAATGGATTCATGTTTCACCCTATCATCTTCCAGGAGTGCTGTTCTGAGATATATTTCGTAAGATCTCTAAAAAGGTCAATGCATAGAAAACCAGTTGTCCCAAACTATGTGATTAAATTTGATAATGCCTTCTAATATTGCCTTTTCCTGCTTCTGTGTTTTCTTCTCCCCACATTCCCCCTACTGCTTAGCATCACTTCCCAAATAAATACCTGTTTGCGAGACTTGATCTCAGGCTCTGCTTTTGGAAGATCATAGATTACAACATAGATTGTAAGGCAAAAAACTATGCCCAATAATTACTTGTCTTAAGGATGGTAATTCTGCCTTCCCTAATATTAAAAATTTATATGTAAGACATTCTCCTCAATGAATTGATGTATAAGAGTACACTATCAAGTCTCAGAAACCACTATAGCTGCTGTCAACTTAGCCTACAAAATCTGAGTCTCTGGTAACAACCCATTAAAAACTGAATAATTCAGCATAAATGGCTATGTCGCTGAACTCCCATGTAGTCGACTGTGGTTCAAGTCCTGGACCTGGTAGCTTAAATTCACTCCGGGCGCATGTGCGTGCATGTCCAAGACCCCAAGAGGAGAATGGAAGAGTAGGGATTGCGGCATGGCTATCCCTCCAGGGGGTGATTTCTCGCTTTCTATCTCTCTGTCTTTCTCTGTCTTTCTGGCAAGCGCGGCACGCTCTATAGCAAAAACCTTTCCAAAAAAATAAATAAATAATTAAAAAACTGAATAATTCAAAAATAATACTAATTAATTACATCTTCATTCATGTATACATAAATTGTTTTATTTTTATTTATGAGCCAATTATTATATACATAAAACTATTATCAGTGTTATGGAGAAAGGTGATTAAAGAGGAACTTTGATTTTCACATTAAATTCTTTAAACAACCTTAAAGAGTATGAATATGCAAATATTACTTTCCAGATTTATCTAAGATATCTTTTTCCACTGCTTTATTTTCATTCTTTTTAAATCATTTTCTTTTGGGTATGATTTTTATTTATTTATTTACTTTATGAGTGAGCTAGGGAGAGACAGAGAAACAGAGACAGGCACTCCCAACAGGGTCTTCACACCACCATACAATCCCAGCTTCAGCTAGCCTAGATCATGAGCATGCACACACACACACGCATACACGCACACACCCAGTGTGCAAGACTTTCTTATGTGGGTCCAGCATTGCAGAGTGTTGTATTACCACTGCACCATTGTCCAGCTCATAGGATGACTTTCTTTTTACTTTTTTCTTTTCTTTTTTTTTTTTTTTAGGTTTTGCTATAAGGTACTTACAGTCATTGGAGAAAGATAGAGAGATAGCAAGAAGAAAAATGAGAAATCATCCCCCTGGGACCAGCAGTTAGTGTAATGGCTATGTCCCTGAACAACAATGTAGTCAACTGTGGTTCAAGTCCCAGACCCGGTGGCTTAAATTCATGCTGGGTGCATGTGCATGTGTGTCCAAGATCCCAAGAGGAGAATGGAGGAGAAGAGATTGAGGCGTGGCCATCCCCCCTGGGGGGGGGTGATTTCTCGCTTTCTATCTCTCTGTCTCTCTCTGTCTTTCTGGCGAACATATGTGCCCTATAGCAGAAACCTCTAAAAAAAAAAAAATCATCCCCCAAGGGGGATGGCCATACTGCAATCCCTTCTCCTCCATCCTCCTCTCGGAATTTTGGGCATTCATATATATGGATCCAGTGTGATTTTCAAGCTGCCAGGTTCAGGATTCGAACTGTGGTTTGTTATGTGGGAGTCCAGCACCTTAAATCACTACACCACTTACTGGCCCCAGGATATAAACTTAGACAATAGATAAGTTTGGTTTTATGTCTTCCAATTTAAGAATCTGGGGAAAATTATTTTACAAGCTGTTGTGATGTACAGTGATTGAATGTGTAAAATAAATTTTTAAAAAGTAAATAAATAAATTCTTTTAGTTTTTAAAAAAATCTTTTTATGGAAGAGGAGGTGATGCACTAACATTTATTATAATTACTGATATATTTTAATTTATTTCTCCCATTATCTTTTTAAACTTTACTCATAAATTCAACAGAAACAATAAAAAACAATGATGATGTTTCCTTTATTCTCTTTTTTCTCTGGAAAGTTTTAATGTAATTTGCTATATTTCTATTTTTTTGTGTTTACTCTTAAGTATATATGTTTTAAAAACCAATTGAATTATTCTTACTAACTCTAAAATTTCATCCTCCTTCTGAACAAATGAAAGACCTGAATATGCTTTAACTGTTCTAAAAATACTTCCACAATTAATGTTTTATGCCCATTTTTAACCAAATTTATCCGCATATTAAAAATTGATTTCTGTGGGACCAGTAGTTAGTGTAATGGCTTTGTCGTTGGACTCCCATGTAATCGACCAAGTTTCGAGTCCTGGACCTGGTGACTTAAACTCATGCAGGGCGCATGTGCGTGCGTGCCCATGACCCCTAGAGGAGAATGGAAGAGAAGGGGACTGCGGCATGGCCATCCCCCCGGGGGGTGATTTCTTGCTTTCTGTCTGTCTCTCTCTGTCTTTCTGGCAAAAGCACATGCCCTATAGCAAAAACATCTCCAAAAAAAAAAAAAAATTGATTTCTTTGTTCACAATTGTGTCTTTAACTTTATGCATTTTCCCCTCTTATTGAACTAGATACAATAACAGTTTTTTTCATGAGGGATTTATGGACAGCACACTCCTTTAATCGTGTACATTGGAAAATGTCATTATTTTCTCTTCATTCCTGCATTATACTTTCTCTGGGTATTAAAAGTCTTGTTGATAGTAATTTTTCCTATACATTGAAGATATTTTTCTACATTATTATTATGGCATCTTTGGTTGCTAATAAAAATCTTCTGCCAGATCAATAACCATTATAGACTAATTGCAATTCCTCAGTCACCATGCCATCAGCCGGCCCTAGTTGTTATTCTTTTGAGAATAATCTGTATTTTCTATTCTAGAAACTTCAATTTTTCTTCTTTTTATCTCTAATGTTCTGCGGTTTCACTATGATATATGTAAATGTGGATTTACTTATTTTTATTTTTAACCTATGAGAGTCATTTTCAATCGGAGAAATTATGTCCTTTTTTGATTTAGCCTTCAACTCTTTATTTTCTGTTTCACTACAATTCTTGATCTCCTCTTCTAGAATGCCAGTGAAGAAGTTGAGAGCCTACAATATGATTTTTTTATTGCTGATTAAGGTTTTACTTATCTCCATGTGTTTCTTTCTGGCTGAATTTCTCTGAATCATCTACTAATTCATAATCTGTATTCAATTCAGGGTTTACCTCATCTACTGAATATTTTATTTAATTATTCATATTTCCAAGATTTATATAGACACACATTTATAACTGGCTCTCTTATAACTATCCATTCTTGACATATGTTTTTCCTATTCTGTTTACATCATGCATGGATTTCTGCGTAAACATTTTAATAATTCTGTTTAGGGTCCTCGCATTCATTTTTAACAAATTAATATACCAGTTGTTTATTTTATTGGATGTCTTCAATAACATATATTGTATATTGAAATTCTAATGTCTAGGCATATTTTTGAGTGGGAAGTTTTGGAATTTTGTTTTTGTATTTCAGTTCCCCCCATTTCTTTTGCTCTTCTGTGCAATCTTCCCTATTTCCAGTTTTGTGGTTGACTCCATTGTGTGTCATTAGGCCTGCACAGAACTTGAAAGGTCAGGGATCTTGCACAGGGGTGTGTTGGGAGAGACTACAGATCCAACCAACCAGTTAAAATGGGCTTTTATGACCAAGTTGACAGGTTTCTCTAGTTCTACAGCTTTCTCTAACGCTAGCCCATGGCAAAGGTTTTAACCTCCTTTCACACACAAAATGCCTACCTCATCCTTTCATTTCCCGTGAGTCTGACTCCTGTTCCCTGTCTTGCACAGATGATTTTTGTCCCCATTATCTTTGCAGAACCCAAGCCTCTAGCTCCAACCCAGAGCTCAGCAGGCTTACAGTTTTAGCCCAGCTCATTACATTCAAGCATCTTCTATTTTATGAGGATTGTTCATGGGAACATTCACCTTGTTTTTTAAAATAGCAGTGTCTTTTTTAATTTTCCCATTCTATGTGTTGGTAACAGAGGGATTACTTAAGCATGAACTTATTAAGACTCTAGTCTTTTACTACTTTTATATTCAACAATATCAAGAAAAAAATTTTTTTTACATTTTCTTAAAAAGTAAAGCATTTCTTTTAAACCTTGACTCAAAAAAATATGCAATGGGAACTCATTTTAAATTATAAAAGCTAACTATGTAATTTAAATCTTCGAATGTGTTTTTCTTTCTTCTGTTAAAGTTTGTATTGTCTCTGGAGACATTTTTTAAATGTTGGTGACATTGTGGTTATACAGCAATTTTGGCTCTTGACTATTAAGTTATAAATATATTCTATTTTTAAGAAAAAACAAACACTCGAACAGAAAATAAAGCAACTGTTCTTGCAATACACTGTTTATGGACTAAGTACTAGGCTGAACATAGTAAGTGTAACTTAATGACGGGTTTGACAAGCCACAAAAATATATGCCAAGCTTCTCTATTTAAACTGTAAGAGAGAAAATTCAAAATATCTCTGTCTATGGATTTTTCTGGTCAACTTTTCTCTAACGCCATCATTGTTTTGGCAAAACTCCATATGAAAAATAAAAATTAAAAACACTCAAAAGTAATATGAAAAGTCAATTTTTATTCCAAACACATTTAAAATTTTTACTTTATTTACTTCATATTTTGTTAGGTAGGAAAAAAAATTTCTAAATCTAGCAATAGAATTTGGAATTAATAGTACCTGTTTTCTTATTTGTGAAAATTTGATTCTTCCCTGGGATTACTGTTTTCCTTGCTATGACAGACTATACACTCTCCTTCTCCCTAATCTAGATCTTGCTAAAGAAGACTCTGCTTCTTTGTCCAGATCCAGTAAAATTTAATTTTTCTTTCTTTTTTTGAGAAGCTTTTGTGGGTGCATATGCTCGCCAGAAAGAGACAGAAAGACAGAGAAACAGAAAGCGAGAAATCACCCCCTAGGGGGGATGGCCACACCACAATCCCTTCTCCTCCATTCTCCTCTCAGGATCTTGGGCCCAGCGTGAGTTTAAGCCACCGAATCCGGGACTCTAACCATGGTCAACTCCATGCA